ATATTAAAACATTTTGTTCATTGTTCATTCTACAATTAAATAAATATTATTCACTTTGTTGATAATTACATTTAACAAGCAATTGAGTAGATTAGAATACTTATTGTTTTTAAACAGAATGTAATTATAAATTATGATAAAACCAAGAATGACTATTTAAAATTACAGCATTTGAGATAAACTTGATTTGATTTATAAAAATAAATTATAAAGTGAAAAATATATTCTTTTGAGATTTATTAAGGAAATCCAAAACTAGTGGTGAAAATAATTCTAAAAACAAAGATGTACTAATATTTATATAATATTCTGGAGTGAAGGAATTAAATTTCAGATTGTCAGAATTAGATTGATGATAAATGTATAAATCAAAAAAAAATTAGTAATTATAAATAAAACAATAATCATATAAAATGACTGAATTAACTCACATTCGTCGCCCTAATAATCTATTTATTTATTTTTCGTTTTCGTTTTATTAGTGTTATAAAAATCATTTTAATATTTGTGCAGGGCAAATTGTGTTGTATTTACATTTTCAAAAACCGATAAATGTGACTTCATGTGTTCATCTTATAATCTGTGAGAATGTGACTCATTGTGTATTTTTCAGTACAAAGTCAGTTACCTTAATCTTAAATGTTATTGACATAAGATAAAATTTGGTCTGTGCGCGTTTGATCGTAAACATTCTGGACAGTTCTGAAAATAATTGACTTATATGAGTTCATAATAAAATTAGAATAATTTTAATATAATCAGTAGACTAATATGGTTTAGTTTAGTTAATATTATTAATACTAAAAAAGCTCACAATTAATTGTTTGATATTTTATGACTGGATGTCTTTTTCTATGAAATTCTACTTCGTCCCTGTTTCGATTATTATTTTATCAACAAGAATGCGTAAAATATTTCGATTGTCCATTATCCAAAATCCAATCAGCCCGAGGCGGTCCCATTTTAGTGGTTCTCGAAAGACCTCTGGCCTCGCAATAAGATTTTCAATAATAATTATAATGGAAGAAAACTTGTCGAAATTTTGGTCGATGTAATTAATAAGACATCAGACTTTTAAGAACCATTCATTTGTCTAATTACAAAAGCAATTATCAAACATACGTACGTGTTATTTTTATAAAATTTTGATAGTTGGCGACGATAACGACGATTTTTGTCTAAAAAACAATTAATAAGAAATGAATTTTGAAATGATATGGAATGTGGTAATCGAATGAAATATTTTTGGTACCATATATAAATTGTTAATTAAAAACTACATTTTGTAGACTGTAATTGTTCTAAACAATTTATTTCTATCAATATTAAATTACTTTTTGTGAACATACAGCTACAGATGATTATTTGTTCAATATTTATTATCACAATCTTTGGATCAAACTAAAACCTGTGTTTAATTCATTGCCTAAATGTAACATGTTCAAAACTATTTTAATATTTATAAATCTAACTGTAACAAGTTTTTTTAAATATAATTATCTTAATCAAGTGTATTCCAATCTAAAACAAGAATGTTTAATAATTGTCGAAGTTAATAGTAGTTTTTATTAGTAAATTAGGCGATATCAAAATGGAAAAGCTTTAAGCTCTAAAGCTCTAAAGTTGATTACAAATATGAATTTAATGAAAAGTAATGCAAATATTAGTTATGATACTTTAACTGTTTAGCATGTATACTAATACTATAAAAACTTAATTGATAACTAAGATACAAAATCTTATTTTAAAAGAGAGTTTTCAGTTTTCACAACATATATAGTGTAAAATTATTTGATGATATATTATATGCATACATATCTTATATATATTAATATAAAGTATGAAATAAATTGGGTATGCATTCTAATTAAATATTTTATATTATCCAATCGAAATAAATGCTCAATATAAATATGATCCACTTTTAATATATCTGAAGTCAAAAATGTGAATGCGATATATAAAAATCTTTTATCTGGATATATACAAAATTAATTGATCCTGCGTCCTGCTAATTTTCAAAATTATTTATTTTTATCATAGTAACTAGGAATTTTTACATTGCGATTGCTTGAAGAGTAATTCGAAATTCTGGAACAAGTTCAAATTTCATAATAATTATTCAAATATAATTTAAATATATTAACTATTCATTTAAAAAAATGATTTATATGACAAATTCAATATCAAATAAACCTAAACCAACTGATCTCTTGAAAAAGGTATACATTTTAATTATATATTTAACTTTCCGTAAGAAAAGTTTATGTTTTTATCAAAAAGTCCGCTTCGCTAATTTTATGTTTTCTCGAGTTTTTTTTGTAATTAACTGTTGAAAAAATTTTAAGCCGATTTTTATGAATTTTTTTTTGGCGGTATATATCATGGTCTTATAGAACTTACTAAAATATTACGGCATTACGACAAGTAGTTTAATTTTAGAAGTTCGTCAAAGTTTGAGAAAATGAGTAGTTTTTTGACGTTTGTTAAAATTAAAATTAGACGATTTACTTGGTATAACCATAGAGTACTTGGTGTTAATGAATATACTAAACTATTAAATCCTACTGGTTCAATTATAAAAATTGTTGATTTTTGAAAATTTGCTTTTAGAAAATACTCCGAGTTACGTGTTCGATTGTTTTCAATTATTTGTAATAAATCCACTCGGAATACTTTTAATCACTCATTTTTTATTGATTAAGACGATTTATATTTGCACTTATCAGCAAGTTCATGTAACTTGCCTCAAGGTAAAATACCAATACCAACTAGTTTATTTAATACTATCGAAGTAAATACCGAATATAAATATGATTCACTTTCAATATAACTAAAGTCAAAAATGTGAAAGTTATATATAAAATGTAATTGGCCATGCGATTTTGGTTTTTTAATTTAAGCTCAAATATGTTTATAATATAAAAAACTCTCAGTGAACTATGTCACCCTGAATTCTGATGTATCTTTTATTTCTGAGACATTACATGATGTTGATCTATGAAAGGAAATGTATCGACGTCCAACAATACGTTGTTTTTTCTATTTAATTAATCGCGTTCTATTAATTTTTTGCACATAATTAAGTTAATGATCGTATTAATAACGCTATTAATTTTACAGCCTCTACCGCTTCTTATAATTTCAATTTATACTGCATCGAATGCTCGGACATAAAATAAAAGGCACGGCAATAAAAAATAACGCGTTAAGCAAATTGAGTTTCAACTAGGTGTAACGGAAAATAATGATTTCGTTTGATCATAATTACGTTTTATAGTTTGTTATTATCACGCCACTAATACCTTTATTGTCTATGAAATATTTTATTATCATTTAAGCCTCTTATTAAATTGTTTATGAAATTTATTTATGAGTCTACATTATGGGATGGTTTGTAAATGTAGTTTGCTTGTTTATTTATTTATCATTGCACTTTTTTGTTCATTTTGTTTAATAAAATTATTGTACAGAAATTATATCATGCTTCGAATTTAATGTACCAAAACATTACAATAGAAAATATAATGAATTTTCAATATAGCTACGAAGCTTTGCATTCTCATGCTCATATCCATGCTTGCAAATATTTTTAAAAAAATGTTTAATTATTTCATTTATTAAACTATCTAAAAAATTTGCTATTGATATCATAGTTACAAATATAATCATTTTATATATCTTTTTGTCGCAAGATTATACTTTAAAAGATAAATCTATTTGCACTTGTTAACAAAAATATGTAATCAATTAGCGCAATGAAGTTAAAAATATTCATTCTTTGTTTAATATTGCCCAAGCATTCACTCACTAAGTAGACCCTGTATTTGTGCCCAATGCCTAAAAGTTCTATCAGGAGTACCTCTTTTGTTTTCATAAATATATGTTTTTGATATTGAAAATAGTTTTTATAATACAGTAATAATAATAAGTTGGAATTGTGAATTTAAACCAAACCATTCTCGAAGCATTACTACTTAAAAAGATCATATTGATAATTGAGAAATTTGGATTTTTTACTGCTTTTTAAATAATGAAGTAATTATAATACTTGATGTAAAACTTATTTACTACTATATAAAGAAGCAAATTTAAGCTAAGTAAAAATAAATACATCATATAACAATTTTGAATAATGTTTATTAGTAATGCGGTAACACTCGTGATGCACATATTTATTAGTGTCAACGATTATACACATTTATATAATGATAAATTAAATTATATATTTATAATAGCATTAAAATTATGTATAATATTTAAAAACAATAATGTAATTAAAGTCATACTTCGAATATGACATGATCGGTTTGTCATTGTAATTAGCATTTAGAAATGAACGTTCATTAAAGAAATGAAGTAATTGCTAATTAATAATTTCTATAATATTCGTTCACACAATTGATTATGTTAAACAACGCATAAACAAATATTGTTTTCGCAACTTCACTTATTATGTAATTAAAATTAACATACATTCATTAACTGCTTGTATTTTTTTTTACTTTTTCGCTGGCGATATAATCTCATTCTTTGAACAGCTGTAATATCTGTCTTGCCTAAAAATATTTTCCATTTTAATAAATTCAAAGATTTATAGAAACTACAAATAATATAGAAATAATTTCTAATCAATAAACTTACGTTTAGTTCGTGAAACGAATGTTTAATTTGTTTTATTATTTTCGAGGAAGAGGGTAAAAAATTCTTCTGATTCAGGCAGTTGATATCGGAACGCATACAACGTTGATGCCGATACGCATACAACGACAGATCTCTATTCACATACACGACGTCTAATCACAATCGATCCGTATAGAAATGATTTCATTGAGAACCGTAACGCACTTCCGTTGCATTCGTACGGATTTACACCCTAGTCGCGCCTAAAGAAGTTTTACTTCAATAATCATTTACCTATCATAAAAGAGTTAGAATATAGACGTGAATGAGTTAATTTTTATCGATAAATATTCAATTATTTAAATTTTCTTTTCCAGCCATGAAAATGACCATGTCGACAAGTTCGACGATGACGCCGCGAATTCATCGCAAGGCGTTGCGTCTACCTTCAAAGCGACATCCAGGCAAACTGCACACGCCCGGTAAACTACAACATCCTGGGAAACTGCACTCGTCTGGGAAAGGTGGGCAAATGCACCAGCATCACCATCCCGGAAAACTGCAAAACATTCAGAGTAGAGGAAAAGCGCCGCAGAACGTGGAGACTTCGTGTGACAATTCCAACGATAGCGGATTTGGATACGATCATTTGGAGATGTCTAGAAGCAGGTGGGTGAAAAAAGATCATTGTTAATTAATGAAAGATTTTTTGAATTTATGTTTGATGTCCAGAAAAATTCATCACTCACAATTCATTAACAAATGCTTGTTTCATTTTCACTTATATTTTTATTCATTTCATAAATGAATACATTTATCTTAAAATGCCACAATGCATTACATGACTAAGAAAATCATTTTTTGTGAAAAGTGAGTTGCTGGTGATGATTTGCTTTCTTGATGGTATATGTGCACAAATGCTAAAGTCATTGCGATTTACTTATTTACTTCAATAAATTATATATTGATTAAATCATGTTGATTGTTACTTATTGGTCAACATAAGTTAAAGTCAAGTAAAGTTCAGAACTGAAGGGTGCAAGATGGCTTTTGATCTTATATATCACAATGTATTGAGTATTATTGCAACAAGTGCAACAATTTGTTGATATTGATATTGCAACATAACTTGGTTGATGAAGTATTCATCATATTTTACAAAAATTATTCAAAATTCTGAATCAATATATCAATATTAATGTCAACTATATAATATATGAAGTTCTATCATAAAAATAGCCAATAAATTGTGATATATAAATTCATTTGTGCAAATATATATAAAAATAATATAATCGTAAGTATCGTATAGTTTTTCCTTCAACCATGGAAAACTGTTAATATAAGGTTAGTAAAATCTATTTTGTTTTGTGTTGAATTTGGTATTCTAATTCCTCCATATGATTCTTAATATATGGCATTTTTTGTGTTGATATTTGTTGAATCTGTACATATGTGTAAATGAACTCTATAGACTTAAATTGCTGATATTGTCAAAATTCAATATTGATTTTATGATGAACTGAAGTAATAAATTTACAAGAACCTTCGAAAATATATAAATGTTATAATGAGATCTTTCAGAATCTCACCCTTCAGAAAGGTTTTATTTATTTATTAAATATAAAAAAAATTTACAAAAATAGACAATATCGCAAATTTAAGTGTTACTTCTTACTGAATGTTTCTTCCAAACTATATTATTAATTTTCATTTAACTTCTATTTGCGTTTATAACCATTACGAAGAACGTCATTGCTTTTCATTTGCATGAATTTTATTATCTGTCTACTAAATCTTATTAATATTATGACGTGAATAATGAATGTACACATTTTAAACTGCATTCATTCAAGCTATTTTTAGAACTTGTTTGTGCTGCGAAAATTATTTTATTGATTTAATTGCATTACTTGTTTTTATGTATTGTTTTTTTGTTTAAAAATAGTTTAATTTATTTTGTTTAACTGGCGAGCTGGTGGGAATGTAGTTAGAGTGATGTTAGGATCGAGGAATTGAAACATTTAATGATTTATTAAATTAATTTAAGAATTTTTGATTCTTGTTGGTGCTTTTTACGCCAAATTAAAATTCATTATGGCTGCTTAGTAGATATTTAGAAAGGTAGCAGATTTATAAACTAATAGACGCCTGGAAATTTGGCTAGTCTTTTTCCAGAAATAATGCGTTACATTTAGGAATATTACGAAATATCACTTTTTCAGAAACAAAAATTTAGTTGCTATTATTACTGGCTAAGTCAATATATTTAGTTTTTTCATGTCAATCAGTTTTTTTACTTCGGAATATACTATTAAAACTTATTACCAATGTAATTTGTTTTTTTTAAGAAATTTGTGAACTATTGTTCTGCATACTTCTCTGGTAAAAAATATATTTTCTAAAATAGAAACTTACAATCAACGATATCGAACGCTTGGACTTTATTAAGCAAATATTGACATTAATTCTTTTCTGATCAAATAGTGTTCAATATTGCATCGTATATATCTTTCTGAGTAATGATGATTAATTTTAACGGCAAATATTTACTTAAAAGAATTAATTAACACAGCAAATATTATAGCATTATAAATGTGAACTTTTAAAAAATATTTTCATTAAACATAAGAAGCTTTTATAATGTCTGTTCTGCTTAAAGTCGAAGAGATTTGACCAACGAATTTATTTATATAATTTAATATTATTGTAGAAGCCTAATTATGTAATGATTGAAATTCAATTTATCGTTTAATATTAATTACTATTTTCAATGCGATAGGAAACTTTAGACCTTTTCTGTTTGTTTTTAACTCTATAAATATGCATTTCATTTGCATTGTACTAATTCTATTTTTGTAGTAGCAGGAATAGGTTTACATAAATTATCTATAAATAGATGCTATTTAGAATATACATATTTTCGTTGATACCAGTGGATTCTTGAAATTCTTATTTTTAAACGGATATGCTCCAAAATCATTGTAACAATCAAGATAAAATATTAATTTTGAATAATATTTTATCCCAACAAAATTCTATAAATTAGTTTTGATTTATCTAAAATGAACTAAGGTTTCGATGTTGGTCATAATCCTGAACTTAGTTTCAGTAATATCGTTATATAATAATATTATATTGATTCTGGCTCTTAAATTACAATGTACGCGAGAATGCTCTCAATCAAGCGTTTTTCACTTTAATAATTTCTTTAATAAAAATACTTCTATTAGAAATTGTTTCTCAAGAAATAATACAATAGCCTAAGCTTAAGCAAACAATACTAAGCTTTAGTTTACATTAAAACATAAGAAACCTCATTTGATACGTATTTAATATTAATTAGTTAATAATTCTATCAGGCTTGTCCTTATTTATTGGCACTAATTAATATGTTATTGTCAAGAATCGATAAATTGACACTCGTCTGTATAATATTACCAATTTGAACTCTCGAGCCAGACACTCAACAAGTCATTGCCTCTGCAAATATCTCCTATCTCGGGTATGAAATATCGCATTTCAAGGGAAAGAATAATATATCATTACGACGACTATCGCAATATAATAATAACACAAATCACTGATTGTCGTTATCAAGTTACTGCCCTTTGACATATAAAGTAATAATACAGTCAAGTTAAAGTCGTCTGTATGTAAATCTCATGTTAAAATGCTAGAATATAATCAACAGGCTTCTATCGCCGTCCAAGCGCATCATTAAACCAAGAGTGCTTGGTCATGTAGAAAAATTAAAACGGCGCCTATGATAAATTTACTAAATTAAAAATAGATACATTTTTAATAGTACATTAGAGTGTTTCATACTCTATTCAATACATTTTGTCGTTTTTGTTTATTTTTATTAGATGCACATTCAAAGTCTATTTTTCTTAATCTGCAACTGAATATTCTTAGTCGTAGAAGATTTAAATTCTATCTTGCCACTGCTAAAATAGTAAATTCAATCCTTGATTAAACTCATTGTTACAAGCTCGTGTTAATTATTTTTATATTTACTGTATCAACAAAAAATGTTTTGGCACGTAGTCATTGACGATATGTAAACTTTGTATATACAAAATAACGAAAGTAATTGCTATATGAATGATTCTTTTATAAATGCTTCAAGCTATTTCAAATAGTAAAAGTACTTTATATAAGGCTTAATAGCCAAGTTGAACAAATGCTACACAATGTCGTTGGTATTTCAGTAACCATATAATTATCAATTTAAAAATATTTTCTCTATACAAATTTCCAGTATATTGCAGTAAGGACTCTTGGTTGTATCATTGAATAAAACGCATTTTCGGAAATTTACTTATTATTCTCATTAATACAGTGTTTGGTTTAGGACTAATGTGGCTATAGCCATTTTACAAGAATATTTTCTGCAACAAATTGATAATTTTTATTTCATACCAATAGTTTTTAACACCTTTTCACAAGTGTTGTTTTCTTTAATCGTATATGTTGGTCCTGATGTAGTTTTACCATTTTTTCACCAGTGACTTAAAAAAGTATTCACCATTAATTTTGTAGATTTTTTTTTGAGTTTTGAAAACGGTTTTCTGGTTCAATAAAATCATGACAGAAACTCTCATTGTCCAAATATGATTAAAAAATTGTTGGTATATATAATATTACTTAATTGGGTTTTAATTAGTCGCTATTGGTAAACATGTATTTGAAAAGTATTTGGTTATGGTATTGTTAATATATGTGTATAAATAATAAAAATGACTGTTTTTTAATGTATGACTAATTTACTGATTAGGTTTAGTTTATGGTTTAGGTCTATCAATCTTCTAGAAATTTCTAGAAACGTAATTAAAGTTAAAAATATAAAGTTGATTTGCATAAACATTAAAAACTCTAAAATAAATATTGAGAAATAAATGAATAAATTAGCATAGTTATTATTTATTTACATTTTAGCAATACAAAGGATAACGAAAATGCATTCTAAATAATAAAATAATGTGACTTATTTGTAATAATGCATTATGCTCTATTATTTCCGAATAGCTTCAATGTTTGTCATCATGTTTAATATTATGTTAGAGGATTTTACGTGAAATTGCACCAGTTAAACTTTTTTATATGTAAGGATCTATTTTTTCGGTGATTTTACTAATATAATGTTTATTTCCCTTCTTCTGTCTGTTTTTTTTTCTTTTCTAAAACAATGTTTGACTGTGAATTAGTATTTACATTTTTCCATTTTAACATCTAGTTACAGATGCAATTATCTACAGAATAATAGGCTGCAGTTATGATTTTTGAGTTATTTAAAAAAAACTGCAGCAGATGTAATATTTGTTAATGATTGTTTCCAAGCGCAATTCCACATTGAGCTGTAAGAAAATAAATAATATATTATTTTAATAGAATTTTTTAATAATATAATATAATGACGCAATTGTAATAATCAGGTAATTAGGAATTTATAAGAAAATCGTGCATATATAGAAAGAAATTAGTAAAAATAATGTAATTGAAAATAAGACTTTTATCTATCGTTACACGAATTCAATCATTTCTACCAAACGGATTGCATACATTGTAACTTACTATTTTATCATACATTATTATAGGAACGTAAATAGTTTTAAATTTAATTTAATAAGTAAGTTTGCAATATATAGGCCTTAATCATATATCATCACTCTAATTACATAGCTTAGATTTGATAACAATTTAGAGAAATATTATTGTTGAATTTTTCACTTATTGTATTACTTTAAAATGAGTTTAAAATTATATTACTTTAACATCATAACTTACGTTTTTGGTATCTATGTCAACTAATCAACAAATTATGCATTCTTTTATAATTTTGCGAATTGTTCTTTATCATATCATATAATGCCAATGTTTGACATGGGCTTGCATATTTATAAAATACCTTCATGTGAATAAATCTGCGCAGTAGTTCAATCGCATATGCAGTTTTTTTATGAATAAATTTTCTATGCTTGTTTTAACTCTCGTTAGAAGACATATTCCAGTCATTATAGTAAGTTCACCTCGGAATTCGAAATACCCAGCTGTAAGTCTGTAAATACTTGTATATTGACACTCTAAAGTTGTCTCAAAACCTATATATATGTAGGTTTTGAGACAACTTTAAGGTGTCAATATACAAGTATTTACAGACTTACAGCTGGGTATTTCGAATTCCGAGATTCTTACCTAATTTAAAGTAACAGTCTAACAGTTGAGGTAAAATTAGACAAATGTTCGGAATTAAAACTGAGGAATACAACTATACAAAGTGGAAAATGTTCTGGTGAAACAATCGTTGAGAAAATTACTTTTAGTGGTTGGTGACTAATAAAATGTAAAACAAAATCTTAAGGGCCAATTCTCAGTTAAAAAGCATGACTGCACAGCAAATACATTGCATTTGTACTGCTTTTAGTACCAAGAAAAGAGCAAGACATAGCATTGGCATAACAACGCTATGTTATGGTCTATTTCACTGGAGAATTGGCACCTTAAATATGAATATGTAATGTAAATACTAATTCACTGAAGAGAACTTCTTGGTTGCATGAATTTTTTTCAAATTTAATCCAAAAAATGTATTCATTAACTTGAAAACAGCATTTTTATCGGTACCTTCTTGAGTTATATCGTTTCCTTTGTATATATTGCTCGAAGCGCTGTAACCAAGGATTGCATGACAAAAAATGTTGTGGAGGGAGTGAATAATTATCTTTCTGTGAGTCTATTTCTCCAAACCTTTAGTAAATAATAATCATTATAAATATGGTAAATAGTGTGATCTATGTGATTGTAATGCGTTTTTATTGAAAATATTGTCCGGTCGCGCGTACCAACACAGATTATCATCAATTGGAAGCGATTATGGAGGCGATGCATCGACGGCAGTCACGACCACATATGTTCGTTCGCTTTGTTCGGTAGACGCACAAGGCGAACAGCCGTTAGCCAAACGTTTTAGGAGCGATTATGTACCCATGGACGCGAACGATGATTCGAATGATTCATTTATGACAACCGAAATTAAAAGAATGACAATGTGAGTACTTTAAGATAGAGAGTTGGTGCCTTAGGTAAAAATATCAATCTTCCAGGCTTGCCAACATTCAGCTCATACTAATTCAAAATTATAAATTATATTCAATTTTCTTCAATTTCTGCATTATCAGCTCCACTGATAATATATGGCTCTGGAAGATTAGATATTTTTATCTCCGGTGTTAGAAGGGTTTGTAGATAAATTTGCAATTGGTGAAGTATTGCGAGAATAATGCCATCTTTTTAGCAAATGCAGCATATTTTATATAGAAACACATAAAAATTGTCTGGATCTGCAGGCCCAGTGCCAAATATGTTTTCCAATGTATTCCGTAGCCATACGTCCCGTATTGGCCGGGACAGTCCGGGATTTTCACCTTGTGTCCCGGGTTATTTTAGAAGCATGATTTGTACCGGAGTTAGATCTTTTGTCCCGGATTGTCGCGGATTGTCCCGTTTTTCAGAAATTAACAGATGAATTAACAAAAATGATTGGCCGGGACAGTCCCGGATTTTCACCTTGGGCCCCGAGTTATTTTAAAAGCATGATGTGTACCGGAGTTAGATCTTTTGTCCCGGATTGTCCCGATTTTTCAGAAATTAACAGATGAATTAACAAAAATGATTGGCCTGGTAAGTCCCGGATTTTCACCTTGTGTCCCGGGTTATTTTTGAAAACACGATTTTTGTACCAAAGTTAATCTTTCGTCCGGATTGTCGCGATTGTGCCATTTTTACTAAATTAACAGAATGAATTAACAAAATATTAAAAGACAGTCCCGGTTTTTTACCTTGTTTCCCGGGTTTTTTTAAAAGCATGATTTGTACCGAACTTAGATCTTTTATCCCTGATTGTGCGCGGATTGTCCCGGTTTTTAAAGAAATTACAGATGAATAAACACAAATGATTGGCCGGGACAGTCCGGATTTTCAACCTTGTGGTCCCGGGTTATTTTAAAAAGCATGATTTGTACCTGAGAAGAAAACGGAGTAATTTAAAAAAAGGAGAACTTAAAAGTGATGAATTAGAATTTTTATCCCGTATTGTCGCGGACGTGTTTCGGTTTTTTTATAAATTAACAGATGTTAAACACAATTACGAAACAAACCTCAAGTGCTACCCCTTAGAAAGGGACCGAAGTTTAATGGTTTTTTACTAAAAGTAACTCCGCATTACAAAAAATAAATTTATATAAAAAGACTCTTTATTAATATAAAAATCAGTGATTGTAATAAGAACTTCAACAATAACAAATATAACAAAACAGTATTTAATACAGTCTACACCAACAAGGTTAAATTCTAACCTAATAACCCAAGTTATCGAAGAGAGTTTTAATAAATTTTATACCTACGTGGCAAATAAAGTTGCAAAAAGATGTTCAACAGAGATGAAAAAATCATTGCAGAAATCAGTTATACAGGTTATTTAAGGATTGAAGACCTGTAAATTGTAAATAAATAGTAAGATTTAAATATCATGCGCAAATATTTCTCGATATTGTTTTTTCTATTTTTTGCCCAACTTTGCTTTAGATTCGTATTCAGTGGTCAAAAAATACATTGAAGTACATATGTCGCACACCCATTCAGACAACTTTTTTTGTGAACGTGTGTTTAGTAAAAATAAATAAATAAAATTTGTCAAAAAAATACTGGCATTATTTTGCTATACATATGCTTTGATAGATATGGACAGTGTTCTGAAAGAAATTTATGATCATTATAAAATTTTGTCATTTATTTGAATATTATACACCTTGTAGTAACACTTTACTGATCGTTAGCGGTTTTACAGCATCCGCTGGATCGCAGATTAAATATTCTCTAATATTGTTTGACTCCTATTTTAGACTTTTAATTAACAAAAAATATTATTTGACATTATTAAAAATGTTTCAATGAACACTGAAAAGTACCGTATCAGCGTAACATCCATCGCAAATTTCTGAAATCAGAGCAGTAACTAGACATGCTATAGCATTTTAGGCATTTTTACCCAAAGGTAATATTTTTTATTATGCAACTTTAATTATTTATTTGGAAAGTATAGTTGTTTATAGTAATGCATATTAACATTTTCAATTTGTAGCTTGCTGTGGAATTATTTGTTAAAATCACAGTAATAATTATAATATCTGAAATTTTGGCAGTTAAATAATAGTTTTACTAATAATAGTGTATAGTCTGTAATTTAGTAGTTTGGTTTAAATTATACATTGAGCTTTTCAAAATTTGTTATTGATTTTTGTAAAAATAACTAGATAGGTACAAGATCAATAAATATAAATCGAGAATTAACTCGTCTACCCTCATTTACCTTTTTTGTTAGCTATTAGTTTTTCAAGATTCTATACGTTTTTAGTTCTTCAAGTTTCATTTTGTTTACTTTCTTAGTTAAAACCATTTTTTTCATTATTTCATCTAGGGGTGAAAAATTAAATTGAGAATTTGAATATTGGCATATTAATTATTTTTAATTTATCACCAACTTCAATGTTGATCCTCCTTATTATTTGGTTCGATGTCTTAATTTTTGTATTTTCTTTCTTTTGTCAACTATCAACTCCTGTCTTTTACTTCTAACGGTCCTAAAGTTCCTTAGATTTCTTGCAGGACGATGTCAGGATATTACTTCCTTATTTCTAATCAGCAGCAATATATGTAAAAATGATTTATGGTATAATGATTGACTGCTTTTCAGTATCCCTAGTAGACTAGTATAAGCACACCCTTTACTTCAAAATGGATACATGTTAGATAGCGTATGTTTGGCCATTATTTTTATGTGTGTTGAAGTTTGTATTTGTTGTCTACATAAGTCTGCAAGCAGAAAATGGATTTATAAGTTTATATTATAATCTGTGCTTAATTTGAAAAATGATTGCATGACATCAGACCGACGTAAGATCATCAACAATCTGCGCAATCGGGATATAAGATACGTGTTTGCTCTGCCAGTTTTAATGGATTTATTTTTAGATCCTCATGCTTATTATAGCGCAGAATGTATAAAAATAATTTATGTATTAACGTCAATTATTGTGCATGATACCTTTGCCTGGTCACAATTGATTACCATAATCGCTCTGTTTACCATTTGCCATTGTTTATGTAATAAAAATTTGCATCGGACACATGTTATTATGTTATCCAATATACATATTAACATTTTTCAATAACTGGACTCCCGCCGATACCTGACACGCGCGCTTTTTCTATACTTGACCTTAAACTTACGTACTGTGCGTGTCCGCAACGGATATAATTCGCTTCAAAATACATTAATTCATACACACTTGTAACAAAGTAACGGTTGAAAATTGTTCGGATTTTTTGTAACATACATAAGAAAGATGTGTCGAGACAAATAAGTCGCTTTTTGTTAATGTAAACAATTTAAGCTTATGTGGGAAAATTCAGGCCGAAAATATTTGCTCCATATCACTCTTAATACAGCCCAAATAAATAAAGGATTTTTTGTATAAAAAAAAAAAATATGAATTGATATTTATTATTTTTTGCATAAAAATCGAATTTAATCAATATTTCTCAAATGGTGATTCTCATAATACCATGGTTGTAATAGCTCCTTTAAGTTCAAATTTACAAATTTTGTGTAGTGCTAATGATATTTGAAAACAATTTATTTCAAGAGGATATAAAATAATAACATGAAAATACAGGGATGAAATACAAGATTTTAGTGTAGTTATTATTTATCATGTGAAATTGCACTGCTTTAAAAACAGTTACTGTCAGAAGTAGGATGAAAATTTTGAGGTATCCTATAAATGAAACGTTATTTTTATAATATCCATTAAATTATTGTTTTTCATTCATTCACAAAACATACTAGATATTCCGTCAAGGAAGACGTAGGCGTAGAAGTTAAGGATTCTGGTAGAATTGATGAGTATATTGAATGAGGCTCTTTAAGAGAAATTCCTCATCTACCTTTTCGGCAACATGATTGGTGATGACTGCACATCATAAAAAATATTTTAATAAATCTGTGTTTATACGATCACATTTTATAGGCATATTACCTTTATTGGCATTTTTGTAAAAATGATTCTAGAATATTATTAACTCATTTTTGAGCTTTATTTTTAAAAAATTATCGAAATATTTTTATAAACCAGCAGATTTTTTTTTGTAATCAAAGTTTGGTGAATTCATGTTTCGAAGATGATGAATAAAGATTCAGCATTTGAATATTCAAAATATTTCAGAGTTAAACTTTATAAAACCATAACTTGTGATAGTGAGCTTTTGAATAGTAATTGATAGTAACTTAATTCATTATCTTTATAATTTTAATCTAATTTTAAATTTTTACTTGGTTTATTGTGAGTCGTCATATATTTAACTGATCCCATAATTGATTATGTAAAATTAAATTTGTTTCATGTCATTCACTGTCGCTTACAAATGGGTTGTCATGTAACTAATAATTGTTCTAACTTATCAAAGGTAATTGTGGGGAAATCATGCTTGGGTTCATTAAAAACAAATTTGCTACGGATATAGTTGTGGACTCTAAAATGTACTGCGATTGAAATTCTAACTAACTATAAAAATCTTATTAAGATTATTCTAAATCATTTCAAATATTCTCAGTCTCCATGTTTTTACTTCAAGATCTTTTTTTAAATAACTATTCTTCAAAATATAAACATTAAATGGTTCAATAATAGATAATATATTATTATTTGATTTACTTTCAATTGATCTCTCGTAATACATAGTTTGTACAAATTTTATTATTATATTTTATAAAAAAAAATTTTTTTTTCTAAAATATTTATTATACTATTTTTGAAAATTAATTTTCACTAGGTATACTCCTACTAAATTAAGTATTCATGTAAAAATGCTCTTATAAAAATCTATAGTGAACATTTCTAAATACTACTGAAATTTAAACTTGTTTTCGTAGAAATTTTACATTACTCTTTGAACGTAGTAACACATAATTGCTGCTAATTGCAAAAAATTTCAGTGACAATTGTAAATAAAATTTTAAAGTATCAATTTATCATCTGTTGCTGGTAAAGAATAGGTATATCTCAGGTAACTCATATAACTCTCAGGTAAATAAGTGATAAGTTTAGTTTTTGATAGCTCTAAATTATTCATCCACCGTTTTAGACTCAAATTAGTTCATTGACTCTTTTTTGCCCCGAGCTTTTGCAAATGTATTACACCAAAAAAAATGATCAAGGATTCTTACTGCCATTATTGTATACATACTTTTGCATATGCATTTATACATATATATGTATGTATATGCTTCTAATACATCTAAATATTTAAGTTTTAAAGTGGATCTCCAATCTCAAAATGATTTGTACGAATGTTCTTTTAAATTTGTTTCCAGAATGCCCACAGCGGTGCCAATTCACCGGGCGCTTCCCAGGCCGCAGATTCCAAGGAGGCCTCCAATTCCCACAGGACCACTCATGACACAACATAACAATATATCACGAAACGGAAAAGTCAAATTGGAAATATTGTGCCAACCTGAAACGCAACATAGGGCCAGGTAATAAACAAAAATTTGATAGTTAAAGATCTACTGCTGATATTGAGAAATCTAAAGAAATTCTATTACTCCTATTTATATATTAGGGACAAGTCTCCTAGTGGCGGACACTTAAGGTTATTTATAAATAAATCAAAAAATATTTTACGAAATTTACGAAATTAAATTATCATTTATGTTAGATAACAAAGTTAGAAATGAAACGAAATTAACAAAACCGCAATCTTTGCTATAAAATATTTAATACTATCAATCAAACTTTGGTATAAAAAATATGATTTTAAACTGTGGCACCTAGTACCGGACATTTCAAAATAACTATCCATTCATTTATTACCAGATATCAAACCGAAGGAAGCAGAGGAGCAGTGAAGGATCGCGATCAACACGGGTTCCCCATAGTCCAATTAATAGGTTACAACAAACCTACAGTTTTGCAAGTTTTCATAGGAACAGACATGGGTCGAGTTGCCCCTCACATGTTCTACCAGGCCTGCAGAGTTTCGGGGAAGAATTCAACCCCTTGTACAGAAGTCAAAATCGCTGGCACCCTGGTTATACAAATTGAATTAGATCCTGCGAAGGAAATGAAAGTTATTTGTGACTGCGTTGGTATTTTAAAGGTAAGAAGTTTTAGATAAGGGTAATAAAAGAACAAAATTGTAAAATTAGAAATTAATAATATCTAGAGCATAAAGATTTTGATATAGACCTTGTTGAGATCCTATTTTGTGGAATATTTGCAAAATGATCAATCGAATTGGGCGGATGTATTTGGTAAATAATTTATAGCAAATTGTTTCGCCTTAGAATAAGAAATGTGTGTCTTAAAATGATATATAAAAGTGTGATACGTCTCTTATCATGCTAATGTTACTCGAGGTTTTCCAACATTTGATTCTTGTTTCATTAAAGTATGCACGGTAACGGTGCAGAGTATTTATATGCATCTAAATAACGAAGAGATGAACTACTTTATATTTAAATTATGCTATATCAATGATACTATATTAATAATAATCCTTATTACTCAATATTAAATCAAATAATACTACAGTTTTGTGACAACTTATCGTTCTAACCTGCCACATTCATTTAGTCTAGTTTGTCCGTTTTATTTTACGAAAATATAATAGATTTATTTATTATAGAATTTTGCTATTTATATATTATTTATCTACATTTTCTAAATAAATATATTGCAAATATATTATCACAAATATATTATTTTCTTTATTAATTTTATCGCCAAATAATTAGTGACCTCGTTACCTATTAGACAATGTACATTGCTGCGCATTTATCGAATAACAATCGATTATTTTAACAAATCTATGAATATTCAATTAAACAAAATAACAAAAAAACTTTATAATGTGACATAATCATAATTACAAATGCCCATTAAAAAGCGTTAACCACTTATTATAAATATGATTATAATATCAGCAATTATGCAACTAGAACGTAAAAATTTAAGTGGAGTATGAACTATTTCAAATCGTATTTACGAATTTGAATGTTACTGTTTAAATTACTTGAAATATTTTAATTTATTGCAAGGTGCAATGTTCACTAACACTTATTTTATAATTGATTTTAACAGAATATGACTATGCTTCTTGATATCGTTTTGTTTACAAAATATTTGTTTTTGATCGCCATCGAATTATTTAAATTAAAGTTACAATTGATTTCTTAATAAATAAGCGGATTTTGACAATAAAAATGAGTGACTATTATGCAAATGTGAATTATTAATGGAGTTTCTTATAATTTAATCAACACACATCTTGCGATTTCTATTTGAGAAAAGGTAATTTATTTAGTCATGATTTGAAGTTCCTGGTTTAATTTATTATTTTCATTAATTATTTAGTGTTATGCTTTTGGAATTCGGTTCAGCACGTGGCTGAACTTTTGGATGTATTGACATCAAGAAATTAAGTTGAGAATAATATTAATTTTGAATTAAAGGAAGAAGGATTGTTTATGGGAACATATATAGCCAATATCGGAAAAAGTTTTCAGTATCGAACTGAAATTTTAATTCATATTAAGACATTAAGCAGTTTGGTCTCAATTTTTATTTATGAAGCTTCATATAATATTCATATAATATTTCCTACTTGATTATTATATAATACTTTATTTTAGTCAATCTATTTACAAATAATGTGTTATTTTATAAAATTCTTCTTTGATCTCCTACTAGACGATTGAAAATATAATCTGATTAGTTGAAAAATAATAAAATGAAGTTAATCAAATCTGCATGGATTACAAATATAATTTTGTTTTTCCTTTTTAGGAAAGGAATGTGGATGTAGAGCATAGGTTTCCAGAGCAGACCGGTTCAAGGAGCAAAAAGAAGTCGACAAGATGCCGAATGGTTTTTAGAACTGTTGTCACAAATGATGATAATACAACAGAAACTCTTCAAATATGCTCTCAACCAATTATTTGCAGTAAGTTTATGATATAATATAATTATTTAGGTAACATTGGTGATCTGCTCTATTTATTTAAGCTACAGAATAAAATAGTTTCTAAAATATAGAGTACATACTCTCGTAGATAACACAAGGATCATGATATTCATCTACTAATTTTGCAATATCTAGTACATGATTACGTTTTTTTCTTCATTATACAGTTTTATATTAATATTTTATATATTTTAGTATTAGAAAATATAAATGATTATTTCTATATTTAATTAAATTTTTTTCACAGCTCAACCTCCTGGTGTACCAGAAATTTCAAAAATGTCATTTAACACTTATCCAGTCACGGGTGGTATGGAGCTGATTATATTAGGAAAGAATTTTTTAAAAAATACACAAGTTGTTTTTGAAAAATGTCGGAGTGCAAATGAAGACGAATACGTCACACCAAATAGAGAATTTTTACAGCAGGTAATAATGGACAAATTTTCTTATTATTATTATTTGATAATGAATAGTTCCATGTATTACGTTAAATCAGTCTTCAGATTTATTTTTCACTGTTGTGAAAAATGAAGTCAATAAATTCAAAATTACATTTATTGAATAAAGTATATTCTTTATATTCTTTTCTATTAAAACTCCAATTCATAAAATAAATACCTAACAAGATTTATAGATATCGTTCTGGATTGTTATCGAGTGGAATGTCAAGACCATGAGATGACTATATATAGTCCTCGACTAATAATTAAAGAGTATTTTTATTATTTGCATATTCTCATTGGTGTGTACATGGTAATCATTACAATTTGTAAATTTTATTAATGATTAGAAGAAATTAATGGTTACAATTTTGAAACTTTTTTTGTCAGATAGTTGCAACTAAACATCAGATAGTTGCATGTTATTTTTCATTTCTATGGGTAATATTTATGTATTTAAGTAAATATAATTATTTAATGTATATATATTTTATTTTCAGATCCACCTGGTTTGCACTGTGCCTCCTTATTATAAACAAGACATCCAGGAGCCCGTGAAAGTCAGAGTATTTATAGTATCTGGTAAAGATGAATCAGAGCAGA